CCAACCCTTGTTTCCTTAATAATGACAACAAATCTTAATTTTATAAAAACAATACAAAAATTAGCCTGGCGTGGTGGTGCACGTCTGTAATCCCAGCTACTCAGGAAGCTGATGCAGGAGAATTGCTTGAATCCAGGAGGCTGAGATTGCAGTGAGCTGTGATTGCACTGCACTCCAGCCTGGGCAACAGATAGAGACTCCGTCTCAAAAAAAACTCAAGAGAACCCAAGCAAAGTCAGTGTGTGGCCCAGAAAATTGGCTTCCGGGTCATACATTCCTTGCAACATACCCAGAGCAATGACAGGAGAAAGGTTTGAGGGGGCAGGTGGGGCCCGGGCATATCTTGAATGCCAGTCTGAGAGTGGGCGCTGCTGGCTGGAGAGTCCCACCAGGGTTCTGAGCAGGGAAAGGATGGGGTTCCATATCCCCAGGCTGGAACTTGTGGGTCTGTGCTGAGACTGGTGGAGGACAAGGGGTGGTCCCCACTGCTTTCGAGACCCTCGACACCAGCAGCATGAGGAGGTGGGTGAGGGTGTAGGTGAGGTCACCCTGAAACACTGTTGTGCCTGAGCTGGGCACAGCTCATAAAGGGGAGCCAGCCATCCCTCCCAGGGCTCACCTTCTAGGAGTTGGCAAGTGGGTGTCTGGTGAGGGAGAGGTGACACACACCAGGCACAGCTCATGATGGCAGGACTGCCCTTAGGTCTGTCGTATCTAGAGCACCGTCTCTGTAGCAGGAGGCCAGAGTGCAGCGCTGGGGCTTTCCAAGGGAGAGTAGCAGGAGAGGAGAGTCAAGCCTGTCACCCCAGGCCTTGCAGGAGGACTGTGGACCTGGAGCCCGGGTGGAGTGCGGTTGGGAATCCTGGAGTCTCACCATCCTCCTCCCGCCCTGCTGCATCCACAGGAGCCGCTCCCACTCAGGGGACCGCTACAGGCGGGGCGGCCGGGGCCTCAGGCACCACAGCAGTAGCCACAGCCGCAGCAGCTGGTCCCTCAGCCCATCCCGCAGTCGCAGCGTGACCCGCAGCCGCAGCCGCAGCCCCAGCCCCAGCCAGAGCCGCAGCCGGAGCCGCAGCCGGAGCCGCAGCCAGAGCCCCTCGCCATCACCCGCAAGAGAGAAGCTGACCAGGCCGGCGGCGTCCCCTGCTGTGGGCGAGAAGCTGAAAAAGTGAGCAGGGCGGGTCTGGAGGAAGAGGGCTGCCTACCTTGGGTGGGAGGGTGAATGTCACCGTTTTCTTTATGAGGGGAACTTAGTCCTACCCCAGGAGGCCTGGGGGTGGGGCATGGCCCTGGCCTGGGAGGGTGGATTTCAGGGGGTCACAGCCCTGGCCTGGGGGGTCTGAAGAGGACGCATCAAATGCTGGAGGATCTGCAGAGTAAGAACCTTTTCCTGGCCGGGCGCGGTGGCTCAAGCCTGTAATCCCAGCACTTTGGGAGGCCGAGGCGGGAGGATCACAAGGTCAAGAGATCAAGACCATCCTGGTCAACATGGTGAAACCCTGTCTCTACTAAAACTACAAAAAATTAGCTGGGCATGGTGGCGCGTGCCTGTAGTCCCAGCTACTCAGGAGGCTGAGGCAGGAGAATTGCCTGAACCCAGGAGGCGGAGGTTGCGGTGAGCAGAGGTCGCGCCATTGCACTCCAGCCTGGGTAACATGAGTGAAACTCCTTCTCAAAAAAAAAAAAAAAAAAAAAAAAAAAGAACCTTTTCCTGGGTGAGGGTCAGAGGGGGACAGGGCCCCGTCTTGCAGATGCTGTGGGGTCTGAGAGGGACATGGTCGCACCCCGGGGGTTCTGAGGCCCATGCCTTGGCCGCCTGGTCTGAGGGCAGTGCTGAGGCTGGGGTCAGAGGTGGCAGCTGCCCATTCCTCCTCCCAACTGTGTCCTCTGGCCCTGCCCCCACTCAGGACCGAACCTGCCGCTGGTAAAGAGACAGGAGCTGCCAAAGTCAGTAAGAATTTGGAACTCGCCCGTCTAATTCCCGTCAGCAGCAGTGCCCGAGAGCTGGGCCCGGTGGGCCTGCAGGGGGGCCCGGGTGGGCTGGGAGATCCAGCCCCAGGGACTGGGAGGGGTGGGGAAGGGTCTGCCCCCATGAGAACCATGTCCCCCCCCTCCTCACTGTACACTGGGGCTCCACCTGTAGCTGAGCCTCTGGGAGCCTGGGGGCTGCCCACAGTCTGCCCCTCCTCCTCATGTCATCCCTCCCCTCCCCAAAGCCCTAGGCTCTTGGCTGAGGTGGGTTGTGGGAGCTCTGGGACACCCACCCCCTCTCCTGCCTCTTCTCCCTCCTCCCCAGCCCAAGCTGACGCCGCAGGAGAAGCTGAAGCTGAGGATGCAGAAGGCGCTGAACAGGCAGTGTATGTCCTGCCCCATCCCTCCAGGGTTTCCCAGCTCTTCCTCCCCTTGGCAGTGGGAGCAGGGAGAGCCAGCGCCACCTCAGGAAGCCTGGCCCTTCCCTAGAGAGGCCGCGCAGGCACAGAGGTGCTCAGGTGCTCTGGGAAGGTGTGAGTTGGCATTGGCTCTGCTGCCACTGTGCTGGGGCCTCCACAGTCAGGTTGACCTGTCTGAGCTCAGCTTCCTCGTTGTAGAGAGAGGGGCTCTTAAGGGCACCCTTTAGCCACCATGTTTCTTCCTCCCTACAGTCAAGGCGGATAAGAAGGCGGCACAGGAGAAGATGATCCAGCAGGAGCATGAGCGGCAGGTGAAGGGGGGAAGGGCGGGCTGGGGTGGCGGGCATGTGCGGGCCTGGCCACGCCCTCATGGCCCTGTCTGCTGCAGGAGCGGGAAGACGAGCTTCGAGCCATGGCCCGCAAGATCCGGATGAAGTAAGTCCTTGCCTTCCCTGTCCTGTGGCCACACCTCCTGCTCCTGGGCTGCCTGGCCTTCCCACCAGGAGCCCTGCCCAGCCCCCTGTGGGTGGATGAAAGGCAGAGCCCTGCCTGGCCCTCGGGGCTGTGCCCAGCCACCTCTCTTGCTCCTCTCCCTCAATTTCCTTCCTCTGTTTTGGCCTGCCTCGTTCCATATCGACCTCCTCCCAGCTCCTCCAGCCTCCAAGTGCCAGTCACCTTTGCTGTTCTATTGGCCTGGCAAGCTGTTCCCGATACCCCCTTAGCCACCCACCGCCATAAGTCTTTCTCCTGTTTGAGCCTCAGTTTGTTCGTCTCCTAAGTGGAGATGGAGTCATTGTCCCCCTTCCACAGGCTGTTGGGAGGATTTGACATGATCACGGCCAGGCACAGAGAAGGCACCTGGTAGATGCCAAGCCTGGCCACTGTGACAGAGACCATTTCAGCACCCAGTGTGCACAGGTGCTCCCCCAGGCAGGAAATGAGGGGACTGTCCAGCCTCCCCCTGTTCAGCATGGCTTTCCTAGGAAGGGGGCTGGGATTCCAATCGGCTCTGCCAGCTGGGGTCCCTCTGAACCTGGGGCTTCCTTTCCAAGCCAGGATTGGTGGCAGTACCAGCCCCGTTGGTTTTACTGTCTTCCTTGGAGTAAAGTGTCGGAAGCGTCTGCCTCCCAGTTCAGTGTGTCCAGTGTTACCGGCCAGATGCTCACGCCTTGTCTTTGCAGGGAGCGGGAACGCCGAGAGAAGGAGAGAGAAGAGTGGGAGCGCCAGTACAGCCGCCAGAGCCGCTCACCCTCCCCCCGCTACAGTGAGTGTCCCCACCAGGCTGGAGGGCTCTGGGGCTTTAAAGAAAAATGTCAAACGTGGTTACAAAAAAAACGTAGTACATGTTCCACATTAGCCTCCCAGAAATGAAAGCTCTTCAGACATGCACACATGCACACACACACACACACACACACACACACACAGTGATTGCTTCAGTCACAGGTGATGGCAAGAATTAGAAGAAATGCTTATTCCAGCATAGGCTGGTAAGGGGCACAGATTGCAGGCACTGGACTCTCTGGAAACGCCGTCCCCTCATTTGGAGACAACACCTGACGTTCTTTGAGGACCTCGTCCCAGGTCAGGGAAAAGGCTCTGGCGCTGGACGTTTGCTCAGTCTTCACCTGTTCTTTTCTTTCCAGGTCGAGAATATAGCTCTTCTCGAAGGTAAGGAAGCCCATGACCTACTTCCTGGGGAGGTACACTTGTCCTTTGATGGGAGAGCCTGGGGTCCTGGCTCTTACTCCTCCAGCCTCACCCCGTGCCCACCTCCAGCTGGAGGGGTTGGTCCCATCCTTTGGGGAGCGTCCCTCCCATGGCAGACAAGTCCCCTGATCACAGAAGCCTCCGTGGCCCCAAGTGTGTTGGTGTGGATGCCTCATCCTCACCGTCCCTCCCTTTCTCTTTCTAGGCGCTCAAGGTCCCGATCTCGAAGCCCCCATTACCGACACTAGGCGAAGAGTAGGCGGTGGGGAGGACAAGGGGGTGGGGTGAGGGGCTCAAGCTGTGATGCTGCTGGTTTTATCTCTAGTGAAATAAAGCCAAATATTATTTAATTCCTGTCACCTGCCTCAGGCTCGTCTATGTGGTTGGTGCAGGGCTCTCCCCTGCCAGGGCCCACCAGCCAGCAGAGCCAGCTGGGAGGGCACTTGGGTACAGGCCAGGTGCCAGTGTTGCCTGCGTGGGACATCCTGCCCACATCTGACGACTAAGTGGCAGGCCCCTGTTCATCAGAACCTGCCTGCCATGGCTTAGTGAGGCCTGCTCAGGAGGCCAGGGCACAGTCCCAAGGGAGAGGGCCCAGACCTGCCCGCAGGTGTGGACACAGGGTGTCGGCCCAGCATGTCCCACATGGGCCCCTTTGCCCGGGGCCTCTGGCGACAGGTCCAGGCCTCTCCCCACCCTCGCCTCGGCCCCTGCCCTGGCCTCGCCCACACCAGGAACTGGGAGCGCGGCTTTCTGTGCCAGTCCTGCTGCGCCTGAGGCACTGGGGGCTGGCCATTCCCTCACCCCCTCACTCCAAACCGGTCTGTCCAGCCGTCCACCTCAAGGAGGGGAAGCTTCCCGCCCCATCTCAGGCACCCCAAGAAAGCCACAGTCCAAAGGTGTGTAAATAAAAGGGGGAATTTACTTGGAGATGGGGCAGATACAAGGAGGTCAACCGTGCTGCAGTACCAGGGACAGCAGTAGGCTTTCCGGGGCTCAGGCCTCCCCAGCCGCCTCAGGGTGCTTCTGCCGCAGGTGTTTGTCCAGTGTGGCTCGCAGGCCGAAGGGCACACGGCAGTGGGGACACTCGAAGCGGGTGCTGCCAGGCGTCATGCCGTGCATGCGGCGGTGGCGGTTGAGCTTGCTGCTCTGGGCGCAGGCGTAGTTGCAGAGCTCACAGGTGTAGGGGCGCTCCCCGGTGTGCGAGCGCCGGTGCACCGTCAGGTTGCTGCTGTTGGTAAAATGCTTCCCGCAGAACTCGCAGCTGCCCCCGGGCCCACGGCTCTTGCCCGCTGACTTGGGCATCTTTTTGGGTGATGCCTTCTGGCTGTTGGCAGGGTTGATTCTCTGTTCCGTGGTGATGGCTCCCCAGGTGTCTCCACCGGGGCCGGCTTGAGCCCCACTGCCGGGAGCCCCGGGTTCCTGGACACCTGCTGTGGCAGCAGCTCCAGCCCCCTCACCACTGTTGCATGGGAGGGTGCTGGCGGGGGCAGCGGCATGGGCAGCCGGCTCTGGAGGGACCGCAGAGGCCTGCTCTTGGCTGGTGTCGGCCATGAGGGGGCTCTGGGGCGTCACCTGGCGGTGGGTCTTCTTGTGGCGGTTGAGCTTGCTGCTCTGGGCGCAGGCGTAGGGACACTGGTCGCACGCATAGGGCCGCTCGCCTGTGTGTGAGCGCATGTGCACCTTGAGGTTGCTGAAGGAGCTGAGGGTCTTCTGGCACACGGGGCAGGTGGGGCTCCGCCGGGTGAGCCCGCTCCCACTTGCTCGGGGGTTCTTGGCCTCAGCTGCTGGCCCCACCACTGCTGACACCGCTGCGGCCACCTCGGCTAGGCCGAGCAGCGGGGCCTCTGGGGCTTCTGATTCTGTTTGGTAGATAGACAGTCCGTGGTCCCACTGGGCATGGCGTAGCAGCTTCCAGGCCACGGTGAACTGTCTGCCGCAGCGCAGGCAGCTCAATGCCTTCAGCTCCTCTCGTTCTGGCAAGAAAAGGAGGCAGAGTGTTAGCGCCGAGGGGTAGGAGTCACAGGGGTTACAGTTCACAGCTGCCAGCTGGACACCTGTGGGACAGGCACTCCTGCAGGGGCCGAGGACTTGGCAGTAACAAGACACACACACCCTGGAAGGACCAGGAAGCTGATGCTCAGAGGACGGGCGGAAACGAAAAATCTGTGGAGTCGGTGCTGAGTACCTGAGGATTTGTGTTTGAAAACCATTTGTTTTTTTGAGACAGTCTTGCCCTGTTGCCCAGCCTGGAGTGCAGTGGTATGATCTTGGCTGACTGTAACCTCCACCTCCCCAGTTCAAGATTTTCCTGCCTCAGTCTCCTGAGTAGCTGGGATTACAGGAGCCCGCCACCACACCTGGCTAAAAAATTTTTGCATTTTTAGCAGAGACAGGGTTTCACCATGATGGCCAGGCTGGTCTTGAACTCCTGACCTCAGGTGATCCACCTGCCTCAGCCTCCCAAAATGCTGGGATTACAGGCATGAGCCACTGCACCCAGCCTAAGACCATTCTTTTTAGACAGCCTGTTGCCCAGTCTGGAGTGCAGTGGCAGGATCTCAGCTCACCACAACCTCTACCTCCCAGATTCAAGCTGTTCTTAATGCTTCAGCCTCCCAAGTAGGTGGCATTAACAGGCGCCCCACGACACACACCTGGCTAATTTTTGCATTTTTAGCAGAGACAGGGTTTCACTACGTTGGTCAGGCGGGTCTCGAACTCCTGGCCTCAAGTGATCCACCTGCCTTGACCTCCCATCCCAAAGTGGTGGGATTACAGGTGTGAGCCATTGCACTGGGCCATGTGTTTGAAAATCTTGTGCAAAGTTATGTTAATTCAGTGAGCAATTCGTACATGCTAGGTACTGAGCAATGGCTCATAGGCCAGCTTTCCCTCAGGAAAGGAAAATAAGATCTCCATATTCCAGGTAGGAAAACTGAGGCACAGAGAGGCATTTCCCCAAGGTCAGAGAGCTTGGAAGGGGTAAAGCTGTGATTTCAATCCAGACTCCTGGCAGTGGGGGAGAGGGCAGAACAGAGGCTTGCTTTTTTTTTGCTTTAAATTTTTAATTTAGTATTTAGTATTTTTTAAAGAGACAGGGTCCTGCTATGTTGCCCAGGCTATTCTTGAACTTCTGGCCTCAAGTAATCCTTTCACCTCAGCCCTTCAAAGTGCTAGGATTACAGGTGTGAGCCACCATGTCCAGCTGGGAACAGAGGCTTTCAAATAAGATTTTTGGTTTAGGCCTGGGCGTGGTGGCTCACACCTATAATCCCAGCACTTCAGGAGGCAGGCAGATCACCTAAGGTCAGAAGTTTGAGACCTGCCTGGCCAACATGGTGAAACCCTGTCTCTACCAAAAATGCAAAAATTATCCGGCCATGGTGGCATGTGCCTGTAATCCCAGCTACTTGGAGGGCTGAAGCAGGAGAATTGCTTGAACCTGGGAGGCGGAGGTTGCAGTGAGCTGAGATTTCACCACAGCACTCCAGCTTGGGTGAGAGTGCGACTCTGCCTCAAAAAAAAATTAATAATAATGGAGATGGCTACGGAGAAGGTTTAGCGGTCACTAAGTAAAGAGGTAGGAGTGACCTGGGTCCCCCACCCTCTGCATGCATCTCAAATTGAGAGCCCCAAACCTGAATTTGGATTTTTCTCTGGACCTTCGGTGGAAGGGGTCAGTGGACACTTCCCAGGTGAACTAGCCTTTCCATTCTTCAAATTCTAGAGTCTTGGATGGGGCAACATTTGTGATTCAACCAGTCCTCCGCCAAGAGCACAGGCCTGGCCTTCGTTCAAATTCAGACTTCTCTGCTCCCTAGTTGTGTGACCTTGGGCAAGACAGCCTCTGTGAGCCCCAGTTGCTACAATTCAGGGACCCTAGAGGTCCCCTCCCTTTCAAGGGTGGTTGTGACCTCGCCTGGGGAATGGATGAGAGCATCGGTCCACGTTAAGTGCTCAAACAGCAGCGCCTGTGAAACCAAGGTGCCCACAATTCTCCAAGCCCTGCAGTGTTTTGTCCCAGTGATTCCATCACAGCCCCTGTCCCCTCCATCAGGGTACTCTCCCTGCTCCAACTCTAAAGCTCATTCAATCAATACAAGCCCCTCCTCTTTCTCACCACCAAGACCCTCCCTGGCCCAACCCTGAATAATTCCACTTCTCAAAGGTCCCAGGAGGAAAAGGGCCAGGGCGCTGGAAATTAGGTTTGAATTAAGCCCTGCGGCCCACACTGACCAAAAGCTCAAGCACCACGTGAAGGATTTTAATTCCCTTCCAAGAGGAGGAACCCAGGTGTCCAGCACCCAGGAGCTCTCTGAAACCAGGGGATTCCCAGGCCGCAGGGATGGGAGATTCCATCAGAAGCCCCTTCCCTGGCTCCAAACAGCTAGCTGTACCAGCATCTCAATCAGAAGTGACAGACAGGAGGGGGTGGCAACCTCCTCATTCCAGCTGGCCTCCACTCCCCCTCCCCCCCGGCCGCTGCCCTCCCCAGAGGTCCCCCCTACTGTCACCCTGGTCCAGCCACCTGGCCAGTTATTTCTGGCCAAGGGGAAGGAGAAGTGAAACCAGGTTGGGGGTGTGTGTGGGGGGCAAATCCCCAGGCTCGTCTTCTGGGGCTGGCCACACCCTGTAGGCTGCCGTCCCTCCCTGCCCAGCCTCCCCCACCCTCCCTCCCATCACCACTAGTCCCTGCCCTAGGTCGGGCAGGCCCTGGCCACGCCTAAGCTGCACCCGATGGGACGCGAGAAAGGGGAAGTAGTGCTCAGTGCCCTGCCGTCCAGCCCAGCCCTCTCCAGCAGGAAGCCCAGCCCTTGAACTTGAGAGAGGGACTGCACCCGGCTTTACTCACCTGAGCCCTGGCCGGGGCTGGGGCCTCTGAAGAGCTGACAGCCCAGCTTCTTGTGGTCCATGAATGCAGTGATGGCCTCCAACGGGAAGGTCTGCAGGCAGCGGCCGCAGGTCAACAGATCTGGGTGTTTGTCGGTCCAGGGCTGGCGGTCTGCAGGGAGGAAGCGAGTGGTGAGCCTGGGGTGGGGCCAGGATGGGGGGGCTGAGGGTGCCGAGGAAGAGGGGAAACCGAAGGTCAGAAGGGAGCCTGGGGGACAGGACGGGGCGAAGGCGAGAAGGCAGGGCGAGGGGGCCCATGCCCAAAGGCAGGGGTCCCACCTGAGAGTCAAAGGTAAGGGAGGCTGGGCTCAGAGCCCGGGGCATGGGTGCCGGGCCCTCACCTGGAAGGTTCGGGGTCAGCGACGTCCACAGGGTCCACGGGTTCCGCGCGCCAAGGGCGAGGAGGGCGGCCCCGGCGTCAGGGAAGTGGTGCGGTTCGCCCCCGAACAGCCCCGCCGGGGACACCTCCTTCGGGGAGAAGGGCCCCAGCATTGGTGCCTGTCGGGGCGGCCCGTCCGACTCGGGCTTCAGTTCGATGACGAGGTCCTGCATTTCCATCTCGTCGTCTGGGGTGGCGGCGGGCTCGGGGTCTACTCGGCGGGGCGCGCTGCCGGCCTTGCGGCGGGACATGAGTCGCGGGCCGGGCGAGCTGGCGGGCGGGCAGGCAGGCAGACAGGCGGGCGGAGGACGCACGAGCTGAGGACGCGCGGACCGTGCGCGCTCAGGTGAGTGACTGCAGCGACCCGCCGCGAACTCTTACACGTGCTGGCCGGGCCCGTGGCTCCGCCCACCGGGGCGGGCCTGATGGGAGGGGACGAGCCGCCCTGCCCGCGGCCTAACTCAATCTAGGCAGTGCCCCTTGCGTTTGGCTTAGTGACCAAATTTAATCACACCGAGCTCCCACAAGGCATTGAAACAGCTATCCCTGATCCCATTTTAGGGCGGGTGAAACTGAGGCGGGATGCCTACACACACCCTCAAGGGAGAAAATAGTCGGTCACGTTTCTTATTAGATGCCCAATAGTAGTAATCTGGGTATTTCATTAAATGCATTACAGTAAAAATTCATTTTGCAAGCATTCACTGAGTGCCTCCTGTGCGCCAGTCTGTTTGAAGCCCTGATACAGCAGGAAAAGACGATGATCTTTGCCTGCACGGAGTTTAGACGGTGGGGGAAGACACTATAAATATAATTATGTAAAATATAGATGGCCATTCATGATGACCAGTGCCCTGAAGCAAAAGAAGGCTGGAAAGGCGGACAGGGTTGCTGGGATTGAGGGATTCCATCTTCTCCCCATTGCTGGGAAAGGGCATGGGGGAGCTGAGGCAGGAGGGAAGTAAGGAAGCCAGCCATTGGACCTGGGCATTGAGGAATTAAAAGGAAAGGGAGGGAGGAGCAATATGGGCTGGGGGTTGAGTTCAGTGAAAAAATGGGAGCAGATCCAAGTGATCTTTTGATCACCTTAAAGTCTTTTGGTTTTCCTGAGACCGGAGCCTTGGGAGGGTTTTGAGCAGAGAAGAACTGTAATCATACACACCAACTCTGTTTTCCTAGACCAAAAGTCAGCCTTAAAACCAAATAGCCAAGCAGCTCACCTGCCTCCACTCCACCTCCTTGAGCTCCCCTCCCCTAAGCAGTTCTCTCGGCTCACTGTTTGAAGTGGCATTGACACCTTGCCCCACCCTCAATCCCTGTTGAGTATTCTTTTCTTCCGGGCACTGACCACATGAACTGCTCTTGGACTGTCCTCTCCCCGACCCAGCGCAAGCGCCCTGAGGTCAGGGCCAGAATCTGTCCTCCCCCAGCTGTGCCCAGCCCAGATGCTGATTTCAGATGCTGATCTCTTGGAGTTCTGCATATTGTTATTCAAGTCTGGGCTCCATTGTCCTCCTGAGCGCAGAGGGCCCTGACCAACAGTATCTAAAGTAGCCCCACCCTGCTGAAGGCCTTGCAAATTACACTCCATGACCTCCATCTGTCCCCAGTTCCCTCTTGGATCTCACTTTCTCCATCCGTCAAAGGAGGTAGGGCAGGTTGGAACTAGAGGGTTATTGGAGGTGGTTTCTTCTTCAATGCCACCTCCTCTGATCACCCTTTTTTAAAAAAATAATTTTTAATTTTTTCTTTTTTTTCTGAAATGGAGTCTTGCTCTTATTGCCCAGGCTGTGTGCACGATCTCAGCTCACTGCAACCTTTGCCTCCCGGGTTCAAATAATTCTCCTGCCTCAGTCTCCAGAGTAGCTGGGATGACAGGCACTCAGCTAATTATTGTATTTTTATTAGAAATGGTTGTCCAGGCTGGACTCAAACTCCTGACCTTAGGTGATCTACTTGCCGCGACCTTCCAAAGTGCTGGGATTACAGGCGTGAGCCACCGTGCCTGGCCTATTTTACTCTTTATATATCACTTTGATCAAACTCTGAAGGATCTTGTTTACGTATTTGCTTGTTTTACCCTATTCTGTCCCTTCTACCCTACTAGAATATAGGTGCTAGTAGGCAGGATGGGAGTCTGTCTTGTTCATAAATACAGCCCCTGCTCATTCATGGTTAAGTCAACAAATATTTATTGAGCACCTACTATGTGCCTGACAGTATTCTTTCTTTCTTTCTTTCTTTTTTTTTTTTTTTTTTGAGACGGAGTTTCCCTCTTGTTACCCAGGCTGGAGTGCAATGGCGCGATCTCGGCTCACCGCAACCTCCGCCTCCCGGGTTCAGGCAATTCTCCTGCCCCAGCCTCCTGAGTAGCTGGGATTACAGGCACGCGCCACCATGCCAGCTAATTTTTTGTATTTTTAGTAGAGACGGGGTTTCACCGTGTTGACCAGGATGGTCTCGATCTCTTGACCTCGTGATCCACCCGCCTCGGCCTCCCACAGCGCTGGGATTACAGGCTTGAGCCACCGCGCCCGGCCTACTTTCTTTCTTTTTTTTTAATAAAGGTGGGGTTTCACCATGATGGCCAGGCTGGTTTTGAACTCCCGACCTCAGGTGATCCACCCACCTCGGCCTCCCAAAGTGCTAGGATTACAGGCGTGAGCCACAGCGCCTGGCCGACAGTATTCTTTCAACAGACATTTGCAGACCACCAAATTGTGTACCTGGCAGTAGGCCTTGGAGATCTAGCGGAAAGCAGAGGCCCACAGGATCTCTGCGTAAGTAGGACCCCGCATGGAGAAGGTGAATTCTGACTGGGCTTGGAGTAGGGAGGTTCATATTTCCCACTCAAGGCCACAGTTTTCCCCTTTGTAAAATGGGACTGCAGGGAGAGCTGGAGGACAAAATGACCGCCTCTGATCCAGCCCAGCTACCTTCTTGGTATACGGCATCTGAGACCATGATCTCCAGGTTTCCTGTAGAGGAGCGGGGGTTCCCCTTGGAGGCTAGTGGTAGGAGTGCTTATGTGTAGAGGTACGAGGATGCAGGGCCGGGCGCGGTGGCTCAAGCCTGTAATCCCAGCACTTTGGGAGGCCGAGGCGGGTGGATCACGAGGTCAAGAGATCGAGACCATCCTGGTCAACATGGTGAAACACCGTCTCTACTAAAAAAAAAAAAAATACAAAAAATTAGCTGGGCATGGTGGCACGTGCCTGTAATCCCAGCTACTAAGGAGGCTGAGGCAGGAGAATTGCCTGAACCCGGGAGACGGAGGTTGCGGTGAGCCGCGATCGCGCCATTGCACTCCAGCCTGGGTAACAAGAGTGAAACTCCGTCTCAAAAAAAAAAAAAAAAAAGAGGTACGAGGATGCAAAGACCGAGCTCTGCCCTTAACCCGGCAGGGAGGAAGTCTTCCCCTCTCTGAGCCTCAGTTTCTTCCGGCCGAAAATGTGCATCCCAGATGCCCCCAACTCGCAGGCAGGAAAAGCGGACCAAAGTGCCCCGCAAAGCCGCGGGCCGGGTGGCGACCCGAGTTGTGCTGGCTTCCAAGCCTGCGAGCCAGCCCGTGACCACGTGGGGCGGTAGCGGCGGCGCGGGCGGAACCCAGGCTCCGCGGCTAGCCGCCTGCCCGGGCCTCTGCAGCTGGGGCGCCGGCGGAAGTGGGGGCGCCAGTAGCGGTGTACCTCGGTGAGTGCGGAGTGGTGAGGGGGGTCGCCAGCAGGTTCCCTTTCCCCGGTCCCAGGTCTGGACGCCCACCCCCGTGCAACGGCCGGAGTGACGGGAAGAGGCAGGACCGTGCCTGCAGCTCCGGCAGGAGGGACGTTCTTGTCCCCAGACGCCCGCATCAGGGACTCTTTGGTCCCGGTCACCGGCAGCGGGAATGTCCCACGCGGGTGGAGTGAGGAGAAGGGAGAAAGCGGAAAACTCCCCCTCGGGAAAATAATAAATGGCCACGATATCAGCAGCGTCGGTGGCAGTCATCCCGCTTTACCTAGAGCGGAATCGCTCGCCCGGTCTGAGTCTGGAGGTGGGAAGAACGTCCAGTTCGAACGCCCAGGGCGGAGTGGGGAGTGGACGCCTGGGGGTCGGGAGGACCTACTTAGTATAAGAAAAGGATAGCAACGGGTGGTCAGGGCGGAATTGAAAGGAAACTGACCGGCCCCAGGGGAAAAAGGGAGGGGATAGATTCTGTGCTTGGGGTTCTGACCTCTGGGGTGGCCCTATCTAACTAATTTGCATCAAGATGTAGCAGCCGATGGGGGTTGTGTGTGTGTGTGTCTGTCTGTCTCTGTGTCTCTGTGTGTCTGTGTTTGTGGACACATCAGCACCTTGGTAAATTAATTAGGTCTGGAGGCTTCTCTGTTAACCGGATAACTCGGCTGGTTCCCCACTCTGGCAATTGCGAAGAATTGGCACAACGTTTGTCCACTGAGCTAATCTCATCTCTGGAGCACCGAGGCCACCAGGAAGGAGGTCTGTGAAACCCCTACCTCTGCCATTGACCCTTTAAGTATTGGGGTCTTGAATCTAACAGACTAGTTTCTCAAGTCGCGGGGGATGGATGGGCTTGGGGATTTTTTCCTGAAACCTTCAGAAATCCTTGCCTTGGAGACTGAAAGGATAAAGGCTTCTGGGGCCAGGTCACCAGGGAGAATGGATAATGCCTGCCTTTGCCCTACTGGGCACACCCTGTGTGACCTTTCTTTTTTTTTTTTTTTTTTTTTTTGAGACGGAGTTTCGCTCTTGTTACCCAGGCTGGAGTGCAATGGCGCGATCTCGGCTCACTGCAACCTCCGCCTCCTGGGTTCAGGCAATTCTCCTGCCTCAGTCTCCTGAGTCGCTGGGATTACAGGCACGCGCCACCATGCCCAGCTAATTTTTTGTATTTTTAGTAGAGACGGGGTTTCACCGTGTTGACCAGGATGGTCTCGATCTCTTGACCTCGTGATCCACCTGCCTCAGCCTCCCAAAGTGCTGGGATTACAGGCGTGAGCCACCGCGCCTGGCTGTGTGACCTTTCTTAAACCAGTTTCTTACCAGGTCACACCTTGGTGCCACAACTTCCAAGGGCTCCCTGGGCTGGTGGAAAAAAAGTCTGTCTTTCTGCGTGGAGCAGGGGTGAGGGCCTGAGTTTTCTCCTTTTCTCTGCCCTCCAGCTTGCACCATGGAAATTACTTATTTTTATTTTTATTTGAGACAGAGTCTCTGTCATCCAGGCTGGAGTGCAGTAGGGTGATCTCACTGCAACCTCTATCTCCCAGGTTCAGTCGATTCTCCTGCCTCAGTCTACTGCGTAGCTGAGATTACAGGCGTGGGCCACCACGCCCAGCTATTTTTTTAATATATTTTAAGTAGAGATGGGGTTTCCCCGTGTTGGCCAGGCTGGTCTTGAACTCCTGACCTCAAGTGATCCTCCAGCCTCAGCCTCCCAAGTGTTAGGATTACAGGCATGAGCCACCATGCCCAGCCCATTCATTAATTTTCATTGGTCTCTGTGGCAGGCATTGTTCTGGGAGCTGGACATCTAGCAGTGGAAAAGCACAGTGGCCACCGTGAAGCTCACAGAGAGGAGATACAGGGAACCGAAAGTGCAAGGGCCCAGGAAGGCATCGCGCCTGAGGTGGGTAGAGCAAGCGAAGTACAGCACGAGGGTTCTGGCAGGATCCAGAACTCACAAGGTCAGGAGGGCTGTGGTGAGGGCTCTGGCTTTGTCTCTGAGCAAGACAGAAGCCACAAGAGGGCTCCAAGCAGAGGTGGGATGTGATCTGACTCAGGCGTTAACAGGGTGTGGGGTGCAGACTGTTAGGGGTGAAGGTGGAAGCTGGGGGACCCAGTGAGGAGTTGACTATAGTACTCCAGGCAGGAAGTATCCATGGCTGCAGCAGGATGCTGGCAGTGGAGGAGGTGAGAAGTGTTAAGCTGTGAATGAAAAAAAAATATATGTGTGTGTGTGTGTGTGTGTGTGTGTGTGTGTGTGTTTTGTTTTGCTTTGTTTTGTTTCTTTGAGACAGTCTCACTCTGTCGCCAGGCTGGAGTGCAGTGATGCTGTCTTGGCTCACTGCAACCTCCGCCTCCCAGGTTCAAGCTGTTGTCCTGTTTCAGCCTCCTTGAGTAGCTGGGATGTAGGCATGGGCCACCACACCCGGCTGATTTTTGTGTTTTTCTTTTTTTTCTTTTCTTTTTTTTTTTCGAGACAGGGTTTCACCTTGTTGGTCAGGCTGGTCTCGAACTCCTGACCTCATGTGATCTACCCACCTTGGCCTCCCAAAGTGCTGGGATTACAGGCGTGAGCCACCGCGCCTGGCCAAATTTTTGTATTTTTTTTTTTTTTTGGAGACTGAGTTTCACTCATGTTACCCAGGCTGGAGTGCAATGGCGCGATCTCGGCTCACCGCAACCTCCGCCTCCTGGGTTCAGGCAATTCTCCTGCCTCAGCCTCCTGAGTAGCTGGGATTACAGGCACGCACCACCATGCCCAGCTAATTTTTTGTATTTTTAGTAGAGACGGGGTTTCACCATGTTGACCAGGATGGTCTCGATCTCTTGACCTCGTGATCCACCTGCCTCGGCCTCCCAAAGTGCTGGGATTACAGGCTTGAGCCACCGTGCCCGGCCCAAATTTTTGTATTTTAGTAGAGACGGGGTTTCACCATGTTGGCTAGGCCGGTCTCAAACTCCTGATCTCAAGTGATCTGCCCACTTCTGCCTCCTAAAGTGCTGGGATTACAGATGTGAGCCACTGGTCCTGGCGTTATACAATTTTTTTTCTCAGCCTTTCTTTTTTATGACTTTAGTATTTTTGAAGAGTCCAGGTTAGTTGTGCTGTTTTTTTTTTTTTTTTTTTCTTTTTGAGATGGAGTCTCGCTCTGTCGCCCAGGCTGGAGTGCAGTGGCAAGATCTTGGCTCACTGCAACCTCCGCCTCTGGGGTTCAAGCGATTCTTTTGCCTCAGCCTCCTGAGTAGCTGTGACTACAGGCGTGTGCCAGCATGCCTGGCTAATTTTTGTATTTTTAATAGAGACGGGGTTTCACCATGTTGGCCAGGATGGTCTCAATCTCTTGACCTTGTGATTTGCCCACCTCAGTCTCCCAAAGTGCTAGGATTACAAACATGAGCCACCGTGCCTGGCCTGGTTTTGTTTTTACTAAGACAAGGTGTCACTCTTGCCCAGGCTGGAGTGCAGTGGCATGATCATAGCTCACTGCAGTTTACAGAAGTATGTTGTCATGCCTGGCTAACTTTTTTTTTTTTGAGAGGGAGTTTCACTCTTGTTCCCCAGGCTGGAGTGCAATGGCAAAATCTCGGCTCACTGCAAACTCTGCCTCCCAGGTTCAAGTGATTCTCCTGTTTCAGCCTCCCGAATAGCTGGGATTACAGGTGCCACCCACCACGCCCGGCTAATTTTTGTATTTTTAGTAGAGACAGTGTTTCACCATGTTGGCCAGGCTGGTCTCAAACTTTTGACCTCAGGTGATCTGCCCACCTTGGCTTGCCACAGTGCTGGGATTACAGGCCTGAGCCACCGTGCCCAGCCCTAATGTTTTTTATGTTTAGTAGAGACGAAGTCTTTTTTTTTTTTTTAAGAGAGTTTCACCATGTTGGTCAGGCTGGTCTTGAACTCCCGACCTCAGGTGATCCGCCTCCCTTGGCCTCCAAAGTGCTTGGATTACAGGTGTGAGACACCACGCCCAGCCAAGACAAAGTCTTACTGTGTTGCCCACGCTGGTCTTGAGCATCTGAATGCAAGTAATCCTCTTGCCTTGGCCTCCCAAAGTGCTGGGATTATAGGCGTGAGCCAGCACATCCATCCCTGTTTTCCTCGTTTGGTAGAATGTCCTTCAGTTTGAGTTTCTTCATAATTATATCCAGGTAATCTATTTTTGGCAGAAATACCACAAAAGGCTGGGCGTGGTGGTTCATGCCTGTAATCCCAGCACTCTGGGAGCCGGAGGCTGGAAGATCACTTGAGGCCAGGAGTTGAGAGCAGCCTAGCAACTGAGACCCTATCTCTTTAAAATTAAAAAAAAAAAAAAAGAAATAGTACAGAAGTGGTGCCCCATCCTTCTTAGTGTCCCATTCCTGGAGCTGTTGGCTTTAATCACTAAGTTAAGGGGGTATATATCAGGTTTCTCCCCTATAAATTTCTGTTTGTGCTTTACAGTGAATGAATATCTTGTGAGTCCGTTGAGCCTATGTAGCTACCTTATACTTCATCAAACTCTCATCTACAATTTTTTTTTTTGGACACAGTCTCCCTCTGTCACCCAGGCTGGAGTGCCATCTTTGCTCACTGCAACCTCTGCCTTTTGGGTTCAAATGATTCTCCTGCCTTAGCCTCCTGAGTAGCTGGAACTACAGGTGCACGCCACCATGCCTGGGTAACTTTTGTATTTTTGGTGGAGACAGGGATTCACCACGTTGGCCAGGCTGGTCTCAAACTCCTGACCTCAAGTGATTCGCCAACCTCGGCCTCCCAAAGTGCTGAGATTACAGGTGTGAGCCACCACACCGGCCCTATCCACACATTTTTGCGTCTGTTCCTTTTATATTTATTTACTTGCTGGTCTACAATAAGGAATATGTTTTCCTTCTCCTCCTTGTTTATTCATTTATTTATTATCATTATGGATTCTGGATTTCTGTTTTATCTAGCGGGTGATAATATGTAACTATCATTATTGTATTGTTCAAATAATTCCATATTTGGCCACTGGGAGCCCTTTCAAGTTAGCTCCTGTGTGAATGGGAATCTATCTAAAAGATAGAATTTCCTGATGGATTGGATGGGTTGTATGTGAGACAGAGGAAGCTGGGGTTTGTTCTTTTTTTAGAGACAGGGTCTCACTCTGTCACTCAGGCTGGAGTGCAGTGGCACGATTATGGCTTACTGCAGCCTCCATCTCCTGGGCCCAACTAATCCTTCTCCGTCAGCTTCCTGAGTAGCCCAGCTAATGTAAAAAAATTTTTTTTGGCTGGGCACAGTGGCTCACGCCTATAATCCCAACACTTTGGGAGGCTGAGGCAGGTCAGGAGATTGAGACCATCCTGGCCAACATGGTGAAACCCCATCTCTACTAAAAATACAAAAATTAGCTGGGTATGGTAGCGTGTGCCTGTAATCCCAGCTATTCTGGAGGCTGAGGCAGGAGAATCGCTTGAACCAGCGAGTGGGAGGTTGCAGTGAGCCGAGATTGGGTACTGCACTCCACCCTGGCAAGAGGGAGACTCACTCTCAAAAAAAAAAAAAAAAAAAATTTTTTTTTTTTTTTTTTTTTTTTTTTTTTTTTTTTTTTTTTTTGTAGAAACGGGGGTCTCGTTACATTGCCCAGGCTGGTCTCAAACTCTCGGCTTCAAGTAATCCTACTGCCTTGGCCTCTCAAAGTGTTGGGATTACAGGCATGAGCCACCATGCCTGGCTGGGTTCATCTTTTGGCAAATATTTATTGCCTGGAAGTTGAGATAAAGCTGTTATAGCCGGGCACGGTGGCTCAAGCCTGTAATCCCAGCACTTTGGGAGGCCGAGGCGGGTGGATCACGAGGTCAAGAGATCGAGACCATCCTGGTCAACATGGTGAAACCCCGTCTCTACTAAAAATACAAAAAATTAGCTGGGCATGGTGGCGCGTGCCTGTAATCCCAGCTACTCAGGAGGCTGAGGCAGGAGAATTGCCTGAACCCGGGAGACGGAGGTTGCGGTGAGCCGAGATCGCGCCATTGCACTCCAGCCTGGGTAACAAGAGCGAGACTCCGTCTCAAAAAAAAAAAAAAAAAAAAAAATAAAAAAAAAAGCTGTTATAAAAGCAGACAAAAGTCCTTGCCTTCATGGGACTCATGTTTTTGTGCATGTGACACTTTGTTTTTGATCCAAGCCACTGGGGGGCATTGGCACAGATTTTAGGAGGGGGATCTGTTTGGGACAGGTGAAGTGGAGCTGCCTGTTAGACCAGCCTCTACTTCCACTCCTCCCTCCTCCTCTAGCCCCATGCTTACCATTTAATAGTTTCTTGTCCCTTTTCTTCACTCAACAGCCAAGACAATGCAGACTCCAGTGACCATTCCTGTGCCTGTGCTCCGGCTGCCCCGGGGCCCTGATGGCTTCAGCCGTGGCTTTGCCCCTGATGGACGGAGAGCTCCCTTGAAGCCAGAGGTTCCTCAAATCCAGGAGTGCCCCATAGCTCAAGAATCCCTGGAATCCCAGGAGCAGCAGGCCCGAGCCGCCCTTCGGGAGCGATACCTCCGAAGCCTGCTGGCCATGGTGGGTCGTCAGGTGAGCTTCACATTGCACGAGAGTGTGCATGTGGCCGCCCACTTTGGAGCCACCGATCTGGACGTGGCCAACTTCTACGTGTCACAGCTGCAGACACCCATAGGTGTGCAAGCAGAGGCGCTGCTCCGATGTAGTGACATTATTTCGTATACCTTTAAGCCATAAAGATATTGTTCACCTTTCCGCTTGAGGCTAAGCCACTGAATCCCAGGCCTTCCAATGTTCTGGAGCCAGGAACTCTGGGCCCCACGGAGTTATGAGCTCCCGTGGAATTTTGAACCAAGGCTTAAGCAAGTCTGGACTCCTGAGACCTCCTGGGTCTAATCAGCAAAATTCTGCAACTCTAGGAATTCTAAGATCCCATTAGAAGGAATGCTGTGCCTCACAGAACTCTGAACTCTACAGAAGTATGGGCTTGATGCTATTTCCTGAAGACCCGGGCATCGGGGTGGGGTGATAAAGGAGGACAAACTGCACAGGGGGAAGTTGTTTATTAAAGAGATTGCAAAATTCAGCCACCCTGAAGATACTCTCCCCAGTGCTCCCCTCCTGCTAAAGAACCAGTTACCCCAGGAAAATTCGGCTCCTGTTTTTATTTTTTAAATTAAGCATACCCACGGGATGGAGTCATCTTTAGGGGATGGTAGGGTGATTATCCCAGGGCTGAATCCAGTGGAGCTGGGCCAAGTAGGACAGGAGCCCAGATAAAGGGGCTGCACAGCCACAGGTCTGGAAAGGCTGGAGTGACCGGAATGCAGGGATTGGGAGATTCCGATTTGATTTCATTTTGGGTAAGCGGTGGCTCGTGCTGGGTCGCATGGTCGTGCCCAAGCGCTCCTCCTGTTGCCCCACCTGTGGTTGCTATGGAATGTACGCGACAGATAGCAGATTCGCTGTTCCCTCGTTGGAGGCAAATGGTCGGATCCCGAGCGGCGGCGCTCCTGAGAAAAGGCCGAGGATTCGCGGTCGGGGTGAAACTTCTTCCCCTCCCCGTTTCTCTCCAGCCTTGTAGCGTGGCCGTTCACATCACGCGCTTTGCTAACCGCCCCTGTCACTGGTAACCTTTCAGTGCATTGTTTAAAAAGAAAGCCGTTTCTGCCCCCTTCTGCAGTTACTTTAAGTTCAGGATGTAAGCGAAGCCTTCCATTAAGTAAAGGTTAGGGTTGTTTCGTCTCTGTCGCAAAAGTGCGGCGGCCGATGACGTTCCGCGCCGGGACCAGCCTCAGCAGCCATCTGTCGGTTCGCGACGCCGGCTCCGCAGAGGCCCGGACCTAGCTTTTGAGTTGCCGTGGCAACGACGCGGCTCGCTCCGCCCCAGTCCCCTTTTATGGTTTTAGCCCCGCCTCCCCCTGGTTGCCGGGTGAGCTAGGGAAAGCGTGGCGAAAGTGCGGCGGCGAATGTCAAGCGTTGGGCCTGAGCCGGAGGGTGTGGCCTGAGCTCGCCCTAGTTCGTTCTTACATCGGTGACCCACCAGCCTTGTCACTCAGGATTTGGGTTGGCTTTTGGAATTTCTACCTTCTCCTAGGTTTTATTTTTTAAAATCAGGCCTATGATACTGCTCATGGGCTCATATTTATTTTAGCATTGTAATTTAAGTTATATTTTATGTAACTCTACCTAGGTACAGAGAGCTGTTGATGTTAACTGCAGTGTGCAAATGGAAGACTGGAGACTAGCGAAGGGGCCGAGGCTTCGTCTCCAGAGGATCCCTGTCTGTCAACATCCATCAACTGTACTTATATACTGAATGCAGCTCCTGCCTTTTTTTACGACTTCTTCATGCCGTTACCACTCTTCGTCAGTTAGTCTAGCCTCCATGTTTTTATTTCTTGCCTTTTGTTGAGCGAGACTTTTCCAGGGTCTTGCTCTGTCTCCCAGGCTGGAGTGCAGGGGCGGGATCATAGCTCAGTGCAGTCTCAACTTCCTGGGCTCAAGCGATCCTCCCACCTCCTAAGCAGCTGGAACTACAGGCGCCCGACACCAGACCCTGCAAATTTTAAAATATTTTTGTAGACGGGGCCTCGCTATGTTGCCCAGGCTGGTCTCGAACTCTGGGACTCAAGCGATCTTCCTGCCTCAGCCTCCCAAAGTGCTGGGATTATAGGCATGAGCAGCCGCGCACCGTCAGATGTTTTCATTTCTATCCACTCCATTCCCTGGGCTCTTGACGAATGTGCCGGAGCTGATATTCGTTATCTGGACTCAGGCGGGGAGGCGTGGGCTCAGCTTCGCGCTTGCGCGCTGCTCTTGGAGACGGCGTCTACTTCGCCCCGCCCCCCATAGTCTGCAGTTCCGGCTCTGCAGATTCGCTGCTCACGTTTCTTTTTTCCGTGGCCCTTTCTGCCTTTTGTTTTCCTCTTCATGTCACCCGCGGGACAACTCTACCTGCAAGTTGCTTAAATCGGTTTTCTGCGTCTTTTAGTAAGAGAAGGGCTCGCCAGCCTCGAGCGAAAGTGTGACTGCGAACGGGCAGGCGCGCGCGGGGCTCAGCGGAGGCGCGCTTGGGCTCCCGGCGGCGACGACAACGACGACGAGGAGAGCGGACGGAGGCGGCGCCTGAAGCAGCGGCGGAGCCCATGCCCCGGGACGGCGGGCGGGCCGGGAGAGACAAGTCCGGGGCCCGGGGCATGTCCCCGGGGCCCCCGTGAGGAGGCGGCGGTGGCTATGGAGATTCCGCCGCAGGAGGCGCCGCCCGGGCCGGGCGCAGACGACGACGTTGAAGAGGCCCCCGCCGAGGCCGGGTCTCCCAGCCCCGCTTCGCCTCCCGCGGATGGGCGCCTCAAGGCTGCAGCCAAGCGCGTCACGTTCCCGTCCGACGAGGATATCGTGTCTGGAGCAGTGGAGCCCAAAGACCCCTGGAGACATGGTAGCTACTGCGGGAGAAACGGGGGCGGGCTCGAGGGGGACCCGGGAGTCGGGAGGGATCGGTGCAGGGCCCGGCTCAGAGGTGGCGTTCATTAGATTGCACGTAATGGCTAATTAAGGGGACAGTCGTCAGTTTAGAGTCGGAGGCTGTTAAAGAGGGGGTGGCCATGGAGTTGGGAAGGTGAAAAGTATCTGGTTTCTGCCGCACCCCACCCTCCCGAGACAAAGGAGGTGATCGTTTTAGGGTTTCAAACGATGAACATTAGATAAAGTTTGGTGGTTTGTCAGATGGGGAGGGTGGCAGCCTTTGCGTTTGTAGTTCTACCAGAAAAGGAAAGAGCGGTCAAGGGAGGAGGAGCAGGTCAACGTTGGCCGTGAAAGGGCAGTTGTAAGAGTTTGCTGGGTCTCTGAGGCTAAAAAGAGGTTAAGTTGCTGGTCTGCAAGCCTCGGGGCAAGGAGTGATCATGTTGGTCACTTTCTTGGCTGGAAAGAGGAAGAATATAAACCCGGACTGTGCCTGTGGAGGACTTGGTAAAAAGGGAGTCAAGGTAAGCTCCCAGAAGAGGAGCAGGGCTGGTGGTCAATTTGTGGTTAGGTAAGGGAGTCAGAGGCAGTGTCGTTTTTTCTTCTTGTGACGATATCTCATTATGTTGCCCAGGCTGGTCTCGAACTTCTGGATTCAAGCGAGCCTCCTGCCTTGGCCTCCCAGAATGTTGAGATTACAGACGTGAACCACTGCCTGCAGCTGCAGTGTGGTGTTAAGAAAAGCCAACGCGGCAGAAGGAAGGCTGTCAGTCGTTCAGGAGCAGAGGATGTTTGGGGCATGGCTGTGGAAGGGTCTTCTTGTTCCTTCCTGAGAAAAAATTGGATGGCTGGACACATTGGCGCATGCTCGTAATCCTAGCACTTTGGGAGGCCAAGGCAGGTTGATCACTTGAGGTCAGGAGTTTGAAAGCAGCCTGGCCAACGTGGAGAAACCCTGTCTCTACTCAAAATATAAAAATTGCCCGGGCATGATGGTGTGCCCTGTAATCCAAGCTACTTGGGAGGCTGAGGCAGGGAGAATGGCTTAAACCTGGGAGGCGGGGGTTGCTGCGAGCTATCACAACATTGCACTCCAGCCTGGGTGACAAGAGCAAAACTCTGCCTCAAAGAAAAAAAAAAAAGGATGACGGGATGTTATCAAGTCAGGAACTAGAGTTGCTGGCTATTAGCAGGTGAGAGAACTGAAGAAGTTTGACCACTTGAGGTGTTGGGAGAGGGGGCAAGCCCACTGGAGAGGGTCAGGTTGGTGTTGGAGCTGAAAGGAGTGTATTGGAGCCATAGGGCTGGGAAGGTGGAAGTTGTTTGGGAGAGGCAGGGCAGTGTTGAGTCCATTTCGTGCTGGAGAAGTCCGTCAGTCCTCCTAGGGTGGAGCCTGTGAAGTGAGGGATTGGACTGGCTTTGGTTCTGTAGAAGCTGATCTGCTGGCCCAGGGTAAGAGGAGAAACTTTTGCCAGTCTGTGGACAGTGGAGGAAATGGTGGCTTTGATGTGAGGGTGGGAAACATGGTAACTGGAAACTGAACACACAGGGAGTTCATCATGAATGACAGTTTGGTTACTTCTTATTGTTTTAGATGGAATCTCCCTCTGTCGCCCAGGCTGGAGTGCAGTGGCACGATCTCGGCTCACTGCAACCTCCGCCTCCTGGGTTCCAGCAATTCTCCTTCCTCAGCCTCCTGAGTATCTAGGATTGCGAGCGCCTGCCACCACACCTGGCTAAAAGTGTTTGTATTTTTAGTAGAGACAGGGTTTCACCCTGTTGGCTAGGCTGGTCTCAAACTCCTGACCTCAGATGAGATCTGCCCGCCTCAGCCTCCCAAAGTGCTGGGGTTATTGGCGTGAGCCACCACATCTGGCTGGCTAGTTATTCTTAAAGAGACAATGGTTAAATTAAGACTTTTGGGCTGGGTGCCATGGTTCATGCCTGTTACCCCAGCACTTTGGCAGGCCAAGGTGGGCAGATCACCTGTGCCCAGGAGTTCAAGACCAGCATGGGCAAAGTGAAACCATGTCTCTAAAAAAAATAGAAAAATTAGCCAGGTGTGGTGGCATAAGCCTGTAGTCCCAGCTACTCGGGAGGCTGAAGAGGGAGGATGACTTGAGTTCAAGAGGTCAGTGGTGCAGTGAGCTATGATTGCGCCACTGAAATCCAGCCTGGGTGACAGAGACCCTGTCCAAAAACAAGAAAAAAAAAAGAGACGTTTGGCACTGGGAGCCAGCCAAGTCCTTGGGCTCTACGCCCCAGGGATAGGTGGTTAGTTTGGGACGAGGGCACAGTCAGAATGGCACCTGGCTATAGCATGGTATCCAGTCCAGAGCAGGAAGGAGAAGGACCTGGAGAGTCAGAACAGGGTGGTTCAAGAGCAGAAGCTCCAGGTCAGCGCCTTCAAGACCTCAGGCTGGTTACCTAGTTCCTGAACCTCAGTCTTCCCATCTGTAAAGTAGGTGGTAATACTCTCACCACGAGATTTAGGAGAGGACTGGATGAAGTTACATATGGAAAGGAATTGGCTAGGGTGAGCGTTCTCTATGGCAGTCGTTGTTGTTAAGGCAGTGTTGGTCGTCTTCAGGACTGGTGTAGAGGAAGGAGCTCATGCATGGCGTGGGGCCTGGATGTGGCTGCCTCAGAGCTTCCAGGAGAGGAGGGAGGTGGCAGTGAGTGGGCCTGG